GCCGTGCGGGGCGCGCGGCTTGGAGGGGTCGCCAACTGTCAACCAGCCAGTACTGCATCAAGCAGACTCAATGATTCCGACGACACAGGCACGGTTCGTGGTTCCCAAGCACTTCATGCAGCCTCAAGCAACTGCTAACGCATTTGCCATGTTTGGATGGGTGCTGTTCACAGCGCGGGCGCCACTGCAGCGCTCACCATCAGACTCGTCCTGCCCGTTGCCGCTGCGGTTTGATCTGAGACTGCTTGCATAGCTCTTGTAAGTCCCGCGCAGGTTGCGTGCGCTGGATGCAGGTGGCTGCATTGCCGCGCAGCAGCGGGCGCAGCACGAGGTGCGCGCCGACGCCCGGGGGCCTGCGCGGCGGCGACGGGTGGGTGGACACGATGAAGCGCTGCTTACTTACATTAATTATGAATCATTTGCGCATGTCCTCTGCGTGTTGACCGAGCCCGGCGCGCACTTGGTGCAAAAGACCCGCGAAATCCACCTATGAGCTCCGTTCGACCGCAGACGATGACTGCATGTCGTGTATGCGACTAATACATACACCGGCGTCTGCTGGCCTGACTTCTCATGGGCTTCGGTTTTGCCAGGGGGCATGCAAGGGAAAATAACCGTCCTGATTTCTCATAATCGCCTCTGGGTTCAAGGAAACAAAAATGTACTGCATGAGTCGTTACATGCGCCAGCCCACCCGGGGCCGCCTCGACACCAGTGCCGAGGTAGTCCAGTGCGAGTGGCGCGCCAGCCACCCAGCCGAGCCCACGCAGCAACGGCGAGAGTGGTCACGCCTCCCCAACAACGCCATTGACGCCCGCGCCATCCTCCCACCACAGCGGCGGCGATGTCGGCAGCCGCTTGGTAAGAATGTCGGCGCCGGTCGCGGTGATGACAATCTGGTGCTCGAACTGGGCGCTGCGCTTCCCGTCCGCGGTGACCGCCGTCCAGCCGTCCGGCCACATGGCGTCCCGCCACGTGCCCACATTGACCATGGGCTCGATAGTGAACACCATGCCCTCCTGCAGCGGGCGGGTGTGTGCGTCATGCATGCATGCCGGGTGAGCATGTCTGGAAGCGCACGTGGGGGCCCTCTCAAACAGCGCACCTGAATGCAGGCTCCAATCACCACCACACCGGCTTTGACACATGCATGATCCCCTAACAAGCCTCCTTCTTCCCCCAACACACATGGCCTGCACTAGCATGCATTGACGCATCAGCGCACGCGCACACCTATGTACGCATACGCAGACAAGCATGCGTGCACAGACGCATCAACACGCGCATGCATGCACGCTGACACATGCAGGCACCCCGACGCCCTTCCGCACCTTCATCACCCCCACCGCCTTGTTGTGCGCGTAGTGCGGTATGTTGGGGGCGCAGTGGAACAGGTCCCCGATGCCGTGGCCGCAGTACGTCTTGACCACCGAAAAGCTGCAAGTGAGGTTGCGTTACAACGCTTTGATGAAAACACTGGTACCGCAGACGGCTGCAAGCCGGCGAACCCAAACCCAAACACCAGCATGGGGTCCCAAGCGCGCAGGTGCTGCCCAGTGGCGGGCGGGCCTTGAGCTGCGCAACCCAGCCCCGCCATGCGTGTGGGGACCCCACACACCCGTTGTTGTTGACATGGCGGCTGATGATGTCGCCCATGTCACGGAAGCGCACGCCCGGCTTGCAGGCGGCGATGGCCTGCATCATGGCGTCGTGCGTCACCTTGATCAGGCTCTTGCTGACGTCATCAACCTAAGGGGTACATTCCACCACGGGGTAAATCGAGGTGGGTGGGTACCAGACTCCGTCGAAGCCAACTGTCTAAGCGCACCCTCGGCATCAGCAGCCAGGAAATCACAAGGGCAAGTAAAACATGCATGGGATGGCGTCCGCGCGGCTCGATGGCAGCCTGTGCGTCAACGGCCCCAGGTGCGCGGCCAGTGCTTGCAGGCAGTGGCTATGCGGTCTTGCTCAAACCCTTGAGATGTACGCCTCACCTTGCCCACGCAGAAGGTCTCGTTCAGGTCCCCGTGCCAGCCGCCGATGAAGGCCGTCACGTCGACGTTCACGATATCCCCGTCCTGCAGCTCCCGCTGGTCAGGGATGCCGTGGCAGATCACCTGGGGGCACGGGAAAGGGGTGGGGGAGGAGCTGCTGGGATCGAGTTGGGCAGGTGAGCCGTGGAGGGCCTGCGTCGGCCGTGAGGCGTGTGGGCGGCGCGGCGGCCCGCTGGGGCAGCAGCACCTGAGGTTGCAGGCGGCCTGGGCGGCCGAGCGCGCGTATGTCGCCCTGGCCACTCGTGCTGGCATCAAGTTCGGGCCCCACAATTGCAGCGCGACGAGCTGCGCCGCGCCGCGCCGTATGCCGCAAAGACGCAATCCCACAAACCCCACCCCCGAACCTCGTTGATGCTGGTGCACACGCTCTTGGGGAAGTTGTAATAGTTTAGGGGCGACGGGTACGCCCCCGCCTCCACCATCGCCTCGTGCACCTGGGGGTGTTGGGGGGGGGGGTGTTGAGGTGAAGCTTTGACTATTGCTGGATCGCTCGTGCCCTTGTATCGAATTGCTGTGTGTGCGTCAAGCAACGCAAATACCCTGCAAGGTGCACCTGGCAGAAAAGCATCCGGAAGACAAGACGTTGCTGGGCCCGCGGCCGCCGCTCCCTTTGGCCTGGGAAGGCCGGCGAGCTGTGCAGCGCCCCTCCACGCCCCAGCCGCCTTTTCCCATTCTCGGGCCCGACGCACGTGCCCAAGAAGCGCGCCCTGAGAAGTTTCAGTTTGAGAACACTGGTATGACCCCAGCGCCCGCTCACCACGCGATCTATCTCGTCGGTGGTCACGCCCGGCCGCACGGCTTTGTGTGCTGCGTCCAGCACCTCCCGCCCCACTAGGCACGCCCTGTGGATGCCTTCTATTTCCGCCGCGCTTCGGCTGACCACTGTTTGCCATGAGGGGGAGGTTGGTGTGAATAATCAGGCGCGAGGCGAGGCGATGGTGGGCTGAGGGGACACAGGGAGCTCCAGACAGGCTTCGTTGGGATGCGCAGTAGAATGTCATCCGCAGAGGCCGCTGAAAGGCAGCGTGCTGCTGGCCCGTGCCCCATGGCTGCTGCGCGCGCACCCTCCCCGTGCCGCCGCGGCCGGAGCCCCTCGCCCGACCCCACCGTTGCGCTGCTGCCGGCTGTCGATCTCTGTGCGTGGGGTGCCGTCTGCCGCATAGTCCGGCCGCGGTATGTGCTCGGGCACCTGCGCACATCACATGCGATGTGAACGCTGCTGGGCTGCAGGCGCCATCCATCCGTTTTGCAGACTGTCACGGGCATCGCCACAGCCGCAGGCAGCTCGCCGAATCGCCGCGCCCCCTGGGTCCACCCAGGCGGCTGGCTTCGACGCGGAGTTGGCCAAGCCTTTGCTTGCTAGTCAGCAGGTCCCCCATCGCCAGGCCTTGGCGCGCACCTGCCGCGGCGGCCCTATTTTGTGGGGTCTCAGGTCGCCCGTCCATCCGTATAGCGGCATCGTCGCGCTGCGCCCGCGGCCCCTCTTCATGCAGTATGCCCAGCCGTCCGCCGACGCCGCCGCCTTGTGGCATTTCTTGTGATCGCCCCAGGCCGCCTGCGGGAATCAGGAACGTCCCTGCTTGGAAACTTGATATCGCTAGTGATAGCAAAGGGTTGTTATGCTGAGCAGTGGGCCTCGCTGCATACACGCGCATCGGGCACAACTCCTCACGCCGTCTGATTGGTATTAGCCTGAGGCGCCGCGCGTGCGCCGCTGCCGCAGCTACCAAGTATGCAAACAACGCGCTTGCCTTGAAGCACTCTTGCGAGCAGTAAGGAGCCTTTGCGAGCCCCTGCTTAAGGCACGTTGGGCACTGCAGCGTCGACGGCGCCCCGCACCTGCGAGCCAGATCCAGGCAGGGGGAGCGCAGGAGAATTCGTCTGGAAGCTGGCATGAGTGACAAAGGAGACTTGATATGCTGAGCACCCGCATGCACCTGCAAGGGCAGCTGTACAGCGGCCTCGCTGCAGGGCGCCGGCTGACTTTCATAAGCACAGCGGCCGGCGTGCTGCACCGCTGCCGCAGCCCAACATAGGACGGCGCACCTCAGGCAGGGCACCCCCATTGCGCTTTTCGATTCCGTTTCCATCACTCCTCTGCTCGCCAATTTGTTACTGCCTCTGTGTTGTGTCTTGTCCAGCTACCGTAGAACTCTGTGTATCGATAGATCTCAAAGTGCTGCTGTTAAATTACATCAATCGGTAGCATACACGCACATAAGAATAAGTCGTCGCCTCCCAGCATCTCGTTGTTTCGAGTGCGTGTCCTGGTGCTCGTAATTTTTCGACCAAGCGACACGCGACCATCCTCCACCAGAGCTTTGACTGTGACATAGGAGCCATAGACAGAGCTCATCTGCAGCAGGGTGCCTGGCCGCGCAGCAGGACCGGGGCAGCACCCTACTTGTGCAGCTCGTCTGCGTCGCCTCCACAGCAGCGGCCATGTCGCCCCAGGAGGTGCTCGGCAAGGTCGGCACCTTCAAGCCCGCCTCCCAATGGCGTGTCGCAGTGATGGTGGGCGTCGGCTTGGCGCTCGCCGCAGTGCCTGTTTGGATGCACAGCCGTGCGCGCGAGGGGGTGGTGAACCCCTATGCGGCCGCCAAGCAGCGCACACGCGACGAGCGATACGCCTGGTACCAGTCTGACGACATGCCTACAAAGTAGCAAAGCCAGACTCACCGACGAGGCACGCATAAATGCAGTTCTTGCGGACACGTGGGCCGGCGGCGCCGGCCGCAGCAGCCTGAAGGGCAGCGCTGCAGGTCACAGCAGACGCGCGCACGGGCCGCGGCGATCCTTCCTTAGCGTTGATGGTGGCTGCAACGGCTTCACAAAAGGGGGGGGCTTGGCATTGTAGTCACCCATGTTTGTAATGGTTGTGAGGCTAACGGTGGACATCTGCCCGCAGCAATGTCCATTGCAGCAGCTTCCCTTGCTGCTGTCGCTGCCAAGCATATCCATCACCGGTTGGCATAGAGTTGGGCTCGCCTTGAGTTCATATTTGTCCCGTTGGTTGCTGCTCAATCGCTGTGTCGCAGCGTCGTGCCCGCTGCAATGGTGGATGCACTGCACCTTGCCGCAGGCCATTTGGTGCTGCTACTGCTTGCTATCGCTTGCATACATGCTGCAGCCTTGACCCGTGAAATTGTGGTCTGTCTGCATTTGCAACTCACACATCCCCCAGTTGTGGATTTCGGCTCTTGTAACCAGCCGCAGTAAGCCGTCACACTCGGGCAGAGATGCCGGCATGGACGGTCACTGGATTGGCAGCCAGCTGTGGCAAAACTGAAAGGGCAAGCCAAGCATATTTGTCTTCATGAATCTTGATTGAGGCAAACGGAGGCAACCGTCTGCGGGTTGAATCAATGGCCAGGCAGGTGAGGTGGTTCTGAAGTCCACTTGGACCAGCGACCCAATTGTGCATCCCACGACGGCTAGGTAACAGCAGCAGCAGCAGCAGCATGTTAGTTCATAGGAAGGCACAGGTGATCTCAGACCCCATGTGAAAGGCCTAAGCAGAGTGGTGCATCGAGGGCGGCATGACCTGTGAGCACCAGCAAGCGTGCTGTTGCCCGGGGCAAGAGCCAGCACGGCAGACCTCTTGCTGTGCTGGCCAGCATCAATCATCCCAGAGGAAGTCATAATGTCTTGCCATTCTCGATGAACAGGTTTTGATCGTGATAAGAACGCAAAATCGAGTTTTGCGAGCAGGCAACCAGCGGGCAGTGAGTGTGCTCCGTGCAGCCAAAGCTGCTGCACTCGCTTGCCTCGCCCTCTTTTGGGCTCAACCACACACGGGCACCGACAAAATGGTTCAGGAGGTGGGCGCCGCTGGTTGCATAGCGACGGCCGCGGTGTGCGGGGCCTGGCAGCCAGCTCGTCCCTTGGTAGAGCGTGATCAACGCTGAAGGGACAGTGAAGGAAGCACCGCCCTCCAGCCTAGCAGCTGTTGTGGCGTCCAGGGCGTGTGGGGGCAGCCATCGGCGGGAGGCCCAGTCTAAGCTCGCCGCCCTGGGCCTCGCTGTAAAAGCC